CCGATGCGAAAACCGCTGTGTGAGTTCGAAAAGTGAGTTACAGAATCGCAGGGCTGGCAGTAAAATTAGAAGCATTTAATGTATATTTCTTTTTTGACGTTCATAAGTGTAATTTTTTTTTTTTTTTTATGACAATTCACACCAATTGACCTAGCCCCATGCTAAGCTGGTGAAGCTTGTATTATGGGTACTAGGCAACGGATATACATACATATTATAGATAGATAGATAGACGTATAAATACATATTTAAACACCCAAGACCTAAGCACAACACCAAATGCTCATCACATCGATGTTCGTCTCAGCCGGGGATCGAACCCGGGACCCATGGATTCGCAGTCAGGGGTACTAACCACTAGACCAATGAGTCGTCGTTTTGTAACCTATATGAATTAATGATTTTTAACTTATGACTTTTTTGAATTTATTCTAAACAAAAAAAATACCACACATTGTAAAAAATTATGTTTAGTTAAAAGAGAAAGTGGTGAGCCTCCACAATAGGATTCCCGGTGTCGTTGGCAGCTTACTTGACAATAATTCCTACTGTTTAATTCCTAACCTTCAGAAAAGGGGGTTAGTTCTTAAAAGGCCGGCAACGCACTGGCGAGCCTCCTGGCAATATGAGTGTCCATGGGCGGCGGTATCACTTAACATCAGATGAGCCTCTTGCCCGTTTGCCTCCTGTTACATTAAAAATTGTTCTACGAGAAAAATACTTGACATTTCGGCACTAGACGGTGAAAGATTGTTAGTGAATGTATAAAGTTTGAATCGTTGGTTTAAATTTTGTTTTTAAGAAATTGGTTAAAGATGAAAGGGCCTCTGAAAGAGAAGAAGTGTTTGTTAAAGAAAGTGTGTTTTTTGAGTAGCTTATATGTACGATAGAGAGCTTTCTAAGACAATTCTTGCACACTGCCACTTTATAGAACCAGTTGCCATTACAGGTATTACCGAACAGTTACGACTAAGCTTTTATAATAACAGCGTACCACTGAAAGGTCGGCAACGCATTTGCAAGCCTAGTGTTGCAGTTGTTCATGGGTGGTAAGCATCTAATTTTATCTGACCGTTAATTTTTCTTACACTTAACTTTATTTTTATACCAACAAAATTATCTAATTAAACCAACATGAAATTGAGCGTAGCTTATAAATTAGTGCTCTTGAAAGTTTGACTAATGGCATGCACTGATACAGAACTAACATTTTGATTTGTTACTTCAAGTTTAAAGTATCTTTATAGTTTACGATACGATTATTTTGACCACTTACATCAGTAGAATTCTTTTTATTTTATTTAACTGTTTATTAATCCACAGTTTTTCTTTAATTAAATTTTTGCCAAAACGCACCATATATTCGACGAACAATGTACTAACAAAAACAATATATCAATAATTTGCTTGTTGAGGTGTGTGTGGGAATTTTCCATGTGCTATCTGTGCTCGAGCAGCATGTTGGGGGATACCCTCATGTCAGTCTCGAACACCAGATCGCACTTGGCTCTTTCGACTGTCAGACAGTCAATAAGTAAATGGACCACCGTTTGGTCGGTTCTTTTGTCACAGTAGCAGGACTGTGAGCCTATAATATCATGGTTGGGATAATCAATAAGACTATACCTAACCTATTTACTACATAAGTTAGTTTACAATAGTTTATATTACCTAACTTGTATCTCTCCTATCGTACAATTTAAACAGTAACCCAAAAATCCCACTGGTATGTTTATAGAATTAAGATACATCGAAAACAAGCTATTTTTCATCCTAATTTTAGAAGCCCACACGATCCGATCGTAAAAAATCGTATCTTTTAAAATTAATGTTGCTCAAAGGTTTGAGATTACATTTATTGGGTGGTCGTAATGCATTTTATTTTTACTCTCACTTGTTAGGTCAAGGATCGGAAGTACTCTGGTTACTGTTTGATAAGAATATTTTTAGATAGTAGAGATTTATGAGTTGTAATTTAGGGCGTTTTATCTTAAGCTAATCAATTAAACACTTGTATTTTGTTGGTGAAGGGTTTACAATGTCTAACAACACTTTTTAATAGCTAATCGGCTTTGCTTGCTTATATACTGAAGGGTTATATATTATCGAAGTCGAGTTTGAACCCCGGCTATGTACAAATTTTATGTACCCTATTAACATTGTATTTTTAATATCTCATACAATAATCTATTGATTTCCAATACACAAATATACGGTATTTACAATATTCTTAACGAACATAGTAATACTAATAATAGTAAAAATGTATAAGTCGAAAATTAAAACAAAGTTAAAAAGTTTGGTCCCTGTGGCAGTGTACCTTTAATGCTGGCATTTCTCGCTGTATTGCGATACTTATTCGTTGAGCGAGGAAAGCTCCAGCTCTAGGGTCACCGGCTGTCATAAGGCGCCAACTTAATCTTTTATTAGTACACTTGAACCCAACAGCCCAAGAGTCTCTACTCCAAAGGGAACAAAATAAAAGTTGGAGAAAAGATATTTTTGAGCCGCTTATTATTTACCGCCTGCTCTGCGGCTGCGCCAGCTTTTGTGTTCGAGGTAAGTGAGACGGGGCTAACGTGTCCAAACAACTATCATCCCAAGCCCGTCCCATACTCCAAGGAATCAAAGACGTTCAATACGGCTGATTGCCATAGTTTCTAGCGATTTATTAGTTTTTATGTCGCTTTCGAAGATTGTTTAGTCATTTTTAGACTGGTAATAGGCCGGGAGATAGTGACACAAAATAGTAGGTCCATTATGGCGGTTCTACAGGGGTCATATTAGGAAATGAAAAATATAATTTTGATGGTCATAGCGCTGGTACCGACGCGACGGTCCAAGCGCGTGTGCGTTAGTCGAACTCGTCGGATTAATTACGACTTTCAAACGATTTGCTCCACAAAAATTCTAGTATTTTCCGATAGTCCATAAAAAATATGAGGCGGCAGTGTCATGCAATACTGTGTTACATGTTATTTAATAACGATGATTGAATTCAGACGCAGGTATGGGTTCGAACAATTCATAGGACGAATCAAATGGAAGGTATTGGGTACTTATGTAAATATAAAAAAGTGTGTGCGTGTAACCTTTACGCGCGATTGAAGTCAAACTTCTTTGGCGTTGACGGCATATATCACTGAAATGATTACATATTAACTTAAATAATAAGTATCATATTATAATTTAATTATATTTATTATTCATGTGCTTTACAAAGATTATTCAAATACGAACGTTAGATCAGCACATGTCAATATAACCTTGTTATTGAATAATATAGAATGTCGCAATCGTCAGAAAATTTATTAATTACTATTTTAAAAGTAATAAATCAATAAGTATATTCAGAGATTTTCAAAAAACTTCGCAATTTAAAATATTTCCGAAAAATTTAGAAACAAATAATCCTAATTGATTACGATATTTGCCAATAGCTGGCGTATAAGTCAAGAAGCGTGGAGTATATGACAATTGACATATACTTACGACCAATCCGAATTATTATTTTTAAATAGCGGAACTACACAGACTAACTAACTACACAAGTAAGCGTTACTTCCGTCAGAAAAAAAATCAAAGTTACTCCCTAGTCGCGCCTAAAGAAGTTTTACTTCAAAAATTAAAAAAAAAAAAAACAAAAACAATCAACTTCAATTTGTACACATTTATTTTATACAAAATATCACAGTTATACAATTATTTACAAACACTACTAGAAACATTTTGTATATTAAGCTCTCCACTACATTTTTTTAACTGTCAAAAGCTTGTCTTAACATTTTAAATGCGGAGAGCGTCAGACCATTGCATCAGCTCGATATTCAGTCTTTAAAAATAATGCATTTATTTAGGCAGTGATTTAAAAAGCTTTCGTTGTACATTAAACTAAGATTAAAATAACAAAACCCTAATTAAGATTAACAATAAATTAATTTAAACATAATTTTTTAAGACGCAGCCAAAAATTAATACAAAAATTACGAAGAAAGCTTACAATGGAAAGTAGGTACCTCGATATATGAGTTCATTGTCCATACCTCAAAGCAATTTTCCCCATTGAAAATAATCAAAATGGCATAATCCGTTCCTACACCAAAAACAACAGCTCAGTTTTGTTAACTGTTTTTGAATAAGAAAATGATTTCACGCTTTAATTTAATAGACATCATCTTCTTCCGACCTATGGTTATAAAGTTTTGTAAAGCAAAAAACGCGAACCAAACTTATTAAAAACGCTTCGAATGAAGCAAACATACAGATGGGAGAAACTGTAAAACTAGTATTCATCTACAGCTATGCGTCTTAAAGCACAATATCGCTCAATGGGCTGTTCAATCTCAAAACACTCGTATATAGAGGTACCACGTGTTTATAAGTCCGATATAACCAAGATTTAGATACAAAAATCACTAATTATTATATTTTATACGAAATTTAAATAACAATTAAAATCTACTGATCCGCAATTCTGACAATACAACACTTGTTTTCTAATATATTAGCAAATAAATCGCTTGAAAGGCTAAGATTCACAGTCGATTAGCGCTAAGTAAGACTTTCGTACATCAACAAATGGGATTTTATTAGCAAATCACGTCGTTCTTCAGTCGACGTTATGATAGGCTACTGTGGTAACAAAGCTTTTACTTCTGTTTTAAGCAATGAATACTAAAAACTTTTATTTAAAAGTAATTTGGTTTGTCCATAGTTTGTCTTTTTTTATGTAAAAGTAGGCAAACGGGAAGCTCAACTTATGTTAAGTAATACCGCCGCCCATGGACATTGCCTGAAGGCACGCAAGTGGCTTGCCTATCCAATTTGTTTAAAACCTGTTATAAAAACATTTAAATGACGATTTAGCATAAATACAAAAGGAAAACTTCTAAGGCTTATAAAAATGAATATCAATAATATAAAATACTTTTCCCATTTCCGAAAAAGAAAACAAATTTCACGTAAAATTAAAATAGACGCGTTCACATTTATCTATGAATCTATTTTACTATGGTTAAACATATTTTGTCTCTATAGCTCTCCATGGTGTGAGGCGGTAGGGTGACTGCAACATCGACCTTTGACAGCGAGGGCGATGACGTCACCAATTCCGCCAGTTGTGACGAACACTCGCTGGATCGTGACGTCATTGTTCGAGCTATAAAAATATTTAATGTAAAAAAAAGACTACATGTAAAAATTTATAAAAAATAAATCAGTGGCGCTACAACCTCTTTAGGTCTGTGCCTGAGATTTCTGAATCTGTTTCATGATCATTTTTCAATCTAATAGGCAAGTAGGTGATCAGCCTCCAGTGCCTGACCCACGCCGTGAACTTTTAGGGTCTAAGACATGTCGGTTTCCTCACGATGTTTTCCTTCACCGTTCGAGCGAATGTTAAATCCGCATATAGAACGAAAGTCCATTGGTGCACAGCCGGGGATCGAACGGGATCGGGGATAATTCAGTATAAAACACTCAAACAAATGTAAGAAAGTTTAAATATTTTGATTTAAATATCTTACAGTTGGTATAACAACTGGACGCGGAGTCACCTGAGGGGCTGTAGGGCTTCATCTCGTAGTGGTTACTCGAGTGGTGAGTGCGGTTGCCGAACGGCGACGAGTAACTAAAGAAAAAACATGTTTTTAATATCATGACGTGTTTGTTTACACCCTAGTTGTGTACTGTAACTAGGGGAAAAACTTTGTTGGAAAAATGAACACTTAGTTTAAAGCTAACGATCAGATATCATATTGACCTCTGGTGCTCCACAGCACAGGGGTTTTTGAGGAACTTCCTGCAGCGAACCACATTGTGGAACCCGTGGTCAGTAGAGGTATTTCCTAACCGATACGACTTAGGTGCCTTCAAGAGGGTACTTTAGTGTTAGAGGTACACCAAATGAAAACCGAAATAGAATTCACTGTCTTTATTGTCCTCTGACTTACATGGCGGTTTTAGGGCGACTGATTGATCCACGTGCAAGTGGAATTACCAAATAATGATACGTAGACAATATTACAAATGGAATTACGAAATTTCTATATAGACAATAATTACACCTCTACAGTACTATTCCAAGGTCGGCAACACACCCCTAGACCCTGGCGTTACAGCTGTCCATGGGCGCCGGTTATCACTTTATTCAAAGTGACCCACCTGCTCACTTGCCTCTTGACCCATAAAAAAAGTGCATGCGTACAAAGGACACATATCAGAAGTGAAACTTCTTTGGCAAACTATTTTTTAACTCTTGTTCATATTTATACAAATCTAAAACTTTAGATTTCCGAGACAGAGGGAGGGAAAAAGGAAGATATGTCAGGAATTTAATCAATTTAATTGTCATTCAAATATTAAAAGTGTCGAAAATTAATACAAATTATAAATTTAATTTATTTCTTCGATAATAAAAACACGTGGCATTGTAATTTACAATTCGTGATTTGAGATTTCAATAAATTATTTTGCATAAAATATAAAATATTAATATTAATATTTCATAAATTCTCTTTACGAAATTTTAAAAATAGAATTTCTATAAGGTACTTCGCCCTTCTCACTCTCTCTCAATCGCTCTCTCCCTTTCGACAAAAACGCTGCACATCTTCGTGACGTTCCGTAAAATTTTTATCCTAATGCGCTTCAAAAGAAGTTTCACTTCAAAAAAACGATATGCCCCCTTCAAAGTCATAACCAAGGACCCATATTCTAAGACGAACCTGTCCCTCATCTGTGGCATGTCATACTGGTTATCGGGTCGTTGCATCCAGTACTCGTTACAAGTTCTTGTTAAATCCGGTCCGGTACTGCCCTTGTCCCGGGAGTAGGTTTTGGGTAGTCCTAAGTTTAATTATTATAGTTTATATAACCGATTCCAACAACTTTTTAAATGTACGATATGGTTGACGGTTTAAACTTTATTTCTAAATTATTCAGTTAAAATAATTTATTTGAAACTAACATAAATAAAGCCTCAGCTCTATTAACAAAGCCTTAATGTTGCACTTGGATAGTGCTTTTAGATATAAGCGTACACACACAGACAGAGAAATAAAAATATCTTTTTTGTGTCCTTTTGTTTCTAGTCTATACGGGCACTCGATTTAACATATGTATATATATTAATAATAAATTACAGATTAAAAGAATTTTTAATATTGCAGAAAAATCTTTTATCTTCATCTCTTTCTCTAATTTCCGCCTCTTGTTTTTAGTTTAAATAAAATGCACGGACACAATATATTATGTAAATATATTTATAATTAATTACAGATTAAGACGGATATAAATAAAAATTCTAGAAAAACATATGTTTAACTCACCAACTCTTGCACCAGTATATCCAGGTCGCGCCCTGTATTTGCACCAAACATACAAAATGACACCTCCAGCGCATAACATGGCTATTGTGATTCCGATACCCACGTACATAGTCAAATTGTTTTTGTATAAATCTGAAAGGTTTTCAATGTGTCAAGGATACGAAAAATAATGGATGGTTCATAACAGATAGCGTGCATGGGCATAACATAAAACATAACATTTATTACTAACGAAACACACATAATAATAATAATTATCAAAAAAATATGGAAAGAAAAAAGGAATAAGGTTTTGGTTGTTGGTCCTGGCTCAGCATTATGCTGTGGAGCAGACGTGTTCCACAGCGCTGCCAGAGATGTGCAGCAAATATCCATTAACGGTATTTTTTACCACTTTAACCAGAATTTATTACTTTATACACTTAACACGGCTTTACGGGTACTATTTAGTTTATATTTGCTTTTTTTAGAGAATCCAACTTTGATGTAGACACTGTTTGACTTGTTAATTATTTTTATTTATAATGAATAATGTAAAATCTATAGTTACTAAAATCAATATGTGTCAACATGTGTGAGCACCATGTATAATACAGTTAGGTATCTGCTGCATTTTTATAACACCCTGCGCCTATTTTATTTTAGTATAGTTGTTTTTTTTGTTCTAGGTACACGGTCTTTACGTATAATTATCAAATCAGTATACAAAATATTGTAAAAACTATTTTTAAAGAGTAAGTATGGAGTTTCTTGCCCATTCTTCTCCATATGAAACTACCTTTTGGAAGGGGCAACTAGTATTTTATTTAATATTTTTAACTTGTAATTTTGACTTTCAAAAGTGCATTTTAAATAAGCCTAATTAAAATAAATGATTTGACTTTGATATATGTCGTTTATATGGCAACATTTGAAGAGGTTCTAATCGTCATACTGTTAACTGTCAACTTGACGTTGTAGTCAGTGAACCAAAAGTGCAAAGCTCTCGAAATATTGAATTAAGTTTTCAATCTACAGTAGGTACTTGCGTAAGCCAAAAATATTTGATAGTTTCACTGCCAAAGTGTTTTCGATATTTTATTTATAAATATATCTTTATGTATTATATTTTATTTATGTATATCATTGAATCTATGAAAGGTTAACTCTGGAAGTACAATTAAATTCACAATGTCTAGAAAAATGTACTCAAAAAGCACATTGCATTCTTATAAAGAAACCAAGATCTGGATTTTAATTAAAACAGCGTTAATAGAGACTTTTTGCAGCAACCCTAATTGGTTATTATTCTGAGAAGTGCACAGCAAGATTCTTTAATTGACGATTTATTATTTTCCCATACAAGAAGAATGCGTATAATTCATATTCACTTATGTGAATTGATTTAAATCATAAAATAAAAGTTTTAATTCTTATACTATTTAAGGAAAGTAACCCCCCGGGTCTACCGCGTTGCAGGACTATTCTCGTTAAACCATTTTTTTGAAGAAATTCAAAAATTAGGAACACGAATTCAATAAATTTAGTTTAACACAATTCAAACAGATGCAAAGGTACGCAAAACTTATTATGAACTTGGACAAATCATTATAAATTTCACACTACAGAAATATATATCTTGAGAAATCTTCGCGTTCTATGGGGGGAATTACCGCGTTATATGGATGACACGTTATAGGGGTACATATGCAAACGTTCTTTTTGATACGGATAGGACGGTGGATAGCAAGATGAAGTTGACAAGACATTTTACCCACTAACATATCAAGGATAAAAAATAAATACTCACGTATGCCAGAAGAACAAAGGCCGTCAACACAAGCGGCGTGTTGCATTGTGGAGCCAGTTAAACAAGACCCTGAACATTGCCGACGTCGGACTCTGACGCAGTCCTCGCTGCATGTGGACCAAGCACTCCAGGGGTACCAGGAACCTAGAGAACATTGTTCAGTGTCGTTGGGTCTTTAAAGCCATAAATATAATTAATTTTGTACGTGTCTTTGTCAGTTTTTTTTATTTCGTAATCTTAAAGCTAAGATAAATGATATAAAACAAAATATAATTATACTAAAGATATAGCCAAAGATGGAATACATAATATATACAAAGAGGTTCGAACAAATATGAAAGGAAAAAATCAATATTATATACATCTACTAGGTAATACATAATTCGGCTGTTATTGTGATGGTGTGAAAGTGAGAGTATGTAGGTGAGGGTGTGTATGTGGAGTGTGCTCATGCAGGTCTTAATAGTCCTTTCAAGCATATTCCACGATAGTTATGATTAGATAAATTTTTTCAGGCAATTTTAACCTTATTTTTTATAAAACAAATGCAAATATTGATTATGCGAGGTATCATTTAGCCTTAATTTTTAAACAAATGAATCCTGTTATTCCAAATTCAAATTACTTACCATTCTGGCACTTGAGACAGTCGTCATCACTCTGCGAGGACTGTCCCCTACAAGGCGCTCCCCCATTAACCGGTGCAGGTTCAGAACACGTCCTGGTTCTTCGTCTTCCACTGCTCTGGGATCCGCATCGACACGGTACCCATGGAGACCACTCTGACCAGCCTCCGTTCACTACAAATTGTTTCTTACTTTATCTATAGAGAAACTGACAATGTCACCTCATTCAGGTTTTTTAGGTAACTTAAACCATTTCACCTCACTCGATGTCGCATTGACATGACATGACAAGAAAAAACAGAGAAACATTCAATTACATTGTTGTCAACCTATAGCTTCAGATTGACGACTTTTTACATCAGTTTGGTCCAAGAAAAACACTTTCTTAAATGTTATCTACAGATATAATACAAATTTAATGTATTTGTTAATTTCAGTATTAATAATGATTGCAGAGCAGTTTTGGCCTAGTAGCTTCAGCGTGCGACTCTCATCCCTGAGGTCGTAGGTTAAATCCCCGACTATGCACCAATGGACTCAATGGAGGAACATGTATACTTACTTTTTTGTATAGTAGTTTTATTCTAAGAGTACATTATCTTCACATATAATTATTTAAGTAATGTAAACCTATTTTAAAAGAGTAAGTGTGGAGTTTCTTGCCCATTCTTCTCCACACGAAACTACCTTTTGGAAGGGGAAACTATAATCTTCTTTATATTTTATTTGACGTTCAAAGGTGCCATTTTAGGTGGTCTAATTAAAATAAATGATTTGACTTTGACTTTCTTTCTATGAGCACATTTCACATTCGCTCCAACGGTGAAGGAAAACGGCTTGCCTTAGACCCAAAAACTCGACGGCGTGTGGCTCAGAAGGCTTATATTGCCTATTAAATTTACAAATGATAATGAAACAGACACAGATATCTGAGGCCCAGACCTAAGAAGGTTGTAGCGCCACTGATTTATTAATTATATTAATAACGATTGTAAATTTAGCATCAGTACACTTGAGAGGCTTTAAGTCAACAATAAAAGGTCTAACAGAACAGATAATCTCGATATTTCATAGAATCTATAACATCAAACAATGCTTTGCTTATTAAAAACGACCCAACCATTACTTAAACATTGTGACAAAAGACGCCAGACAATGGCTTATAGACGTACCAACGGTGTTATTGTGAAAACTTGTATAGACAAAACAGACTACAGTTCTTGCTACTTAATAGTTATAGAAAGAACAGAAGGATTACAGCAGAAACGTTGATGACCTATCATTGATATCCTAGGAAACTTTTAATAACGCAAAGGTTTATTTTAAATTAATAGAATTTTATCAATGAAGCTATAAAACCATTGCTGCCATTATAGGCAAAAATGGTTCTTAAAGCGTTCTGTCATTTTACAAATTTTTGTTTGAGGTACTATGTTTCTTTATTGCAGATACCCTACAAATGACGACCACGTATTCATTAAAAACTTGGGAGTTAAAGTAATATTGTAAAATCTTTGTAATATATATTTTGATAGTGGAGTTTTCAAAGTTTTAGAGGTCCTTTTCAGTCGTATGCTGTAAGGTACCTGCTGCCCTGCTAGTGATGTTTCTCCACCTTATTCGCTCTATAGCAGTGATTACCTTTATTGGGCCATGTCCCACCTTAGCCCTCCAAAATTCTTGGACCCCCCTATTCAACATACATATTTTTTATACAATTGAATTGTTAGGTTTTAGAAAGAAATGACTAGGAAATTGTTAATGAAAAACATTAAGTAAATTTTCAAATCATATGATGAAAAAGTGAAATCCAAATTCCAAATAAATTTAATAAATTCTTACCCCACTGTGGGGACGTTGAGAAATACTGGTCTATAACATCCCTTAGCGCAGCTGTTAGAGATCCTACTGATTATAACACACTGGTAAGTACTTACCATAAACAGACAAGACAGCCGTGTCTGACTCTCTTCTACCAGCGATGTTCTCTGCTATACACGTGTAGTTAGCCATGTCCTATAATAAAGAATCATTTTGAGTTTGAAAATATATTTAACTAGCAGACCGGCCAAGCGTTGCTGTGGCTAAGGTTTTTGTTATATTACATAGTGGTAAACTATTCAAGGGAAACGGTAGGAGAACACCAGTAATGAGGACCACCATGCTTTTTTGGTGGTTATGGCCATTAAATTGTAGCTTATGTGAAACGTTGGTACTTTCAACACAGCGCCATGTGTTAGAATTGTGACTATCAAATAATAAACAGATATTTTGCAATAATATAATATTGCGGGTATAAATTGAGACGTAAGCTATCCTTTCTTTTAAGTTAGATCAAACTGCACACGGTTTGCAAATTTGATTGAAATCGTTTCAGTAGTTTAGGAGTCCATAGCGGACAAACAACGTGACACGTAATTTATATATATTAAGATTAATAAGAGATTTCATATATAACATACTTTAGAGTTTATTGTTTGGTTAACGAACCAAATTTTAATCGTAATTTGAATTGAAAGCAATCTCTGACATTAATAAAACTTAAAAACTTTTTTTTGTAATTTCTAAACTGTTTTGAATAAACGTTATACAGTTGCCTTATAACGACGAAGAGCGATTCGAATCGTCGGCGGCCAGTCACTTTCCGAGCGGCTTGATCCCTTGGGGTTGCGTAGAGATGTGGGAACTCTCAGCATCTTCTACCGCATTTACCACGGAGAGTGTTTAGGAATTGTTCGGATTAATACCCGCAGCTGAATTCCATCATCGTACGTCGACGCAGCATACTAAATTCCACCGGATGACCTTACGTACAGAGCGTTTTTCAAGGCAGTTTTTGCCACGCATATGGAACCAGCTGTCAACTGAAGTATATCCGCACCAATTCGAGTGGGGGTCCTTCAAGAAGACAGCGTACAAAAAGGCCGCAACGCACTTGCGAGCCTACTAGCAATGTACCTGTCCATAAGCGGTGGATTTCACTAAACATCAGGTGAGCCTCCTGCCCGTTTGCCTCGTATATATAAAACAAAAAGCGTAGGCTATTGATTACTAGAAAACCCACCTGTAATTTAACTTTCGGCAGAACCAACATCTCATCAGTGGCGTCCACCGGGACTCCGTTCCTCAACCACTTGATGGTAGCTGGTGGCGCAGCGGGCGGTGGGCTGCAGCGGAAGGTGGCCTGTTTTCCCGCTTCCACAGTTACGGATTGGGGGTATTGAACAAACTGCTTCTTAATATCTGGGGACAATATTGTTATATATTTAAACTAATCTTTTAAATAAAACCCTTCGTGTCACATGTGTCAATAAATTTATTTGACAGATATATTTTTACATTCTGGTAATCGAATCTTCGTCGAGAAGTGCGTGACCTAGATAGCTTTTTTCATTATTTAAAAAAAAAAATAGTGGCGCTACAACCTTTTTACGTAAAGTAAGTAGATGATCAGCTTCCTGTGACTGACACACGCCGTCGACTTTTCGGATCTAAGGCAAGCCTGTTTCCTCAAGATGTTTTCCTACACCGTTCGAGCGAATGTTAAATGCGCACATAGAAAGAAAGTCCATTGTTGCAAAGCCGAGGATCGAACCTACGACCTCAAAGATGAGAGTCGAAGCCACTAAGCCAACACTGCTCATTTTTCATTAGTAACGTCCGACTATTTTAAACGTACAAAATTCGTGTTGTGTTCGACTCCAAGAGGAATGCTTTTACACGATAGAGACCTAACCCTTTTATCGATAAAGCATCATCAGACCATCCCAAAGCCACGTCATCGACAGTGAACATTCATCACACAAAGTGCTCGATTTAACGAGCGGAAATCATGTTTCCTTCATTTAATGGTTCCGTTCCATTCAACCCCAAGGGTGGGCGTCTTAACTGCCGAAAAATTTTAAAACTGCTTGCAATTATCGGCGTCTTTTGTTTTAGTCTCTTCAAATCGGTTTAAATTTCGAATTTTAAGCTATACCTAATTATAAGACATGATCAGAAATATTGAAAGACTAAGTAACCATTTGTGGTGCAAGATTCTCTAATCAAAACTTACATATAATATAATATATATATCACAAAGAAACAATGTTATGGCAAAACAATATTTGTTGAATAACTACGGCATAATGCATACCAACAATAACATTGATTAAACGTAAAACAAATAATCAAAATAGAAAAAGACTGACTATTACCTTGATATCACAAGTCTTCTATACTATATGTATATATTTACACGCGTTAAAAACTTAATCCAGAGTGTAATAATTAATTATTTAGAAAGCCTTACAGCTTGCAAAATAATGTAATTTAAAAAAAAAACACAAATTAGAAGGGACTTAACAATTATTGTCATATTGATGAGAGAGAGAATGCGTATCGGGTGTGAATTTGTGTGTTTAAGTGAAGTATGTGTGTTTGAAATCGGCTTGATTTGATGGATATCTAATCATGTCTTTTAACTAGATATATAGAAAGAAAAACGCTTTTTACCGGATTAAAGTTATGTTTATTATTATAAATTTACAACTATTTGACATAATTTTAAATTTACAACTATTTGACATAATTTTAAATTTACAACTATTTGACATAATTTTAAATTTATCCGACGTTTCGCGTGCTTTACACGTGCACCAGTCACCGTGACCACGCACGCTGTAAAGCACGCGAAACGTCGGATAAATTTAAAATTATGTCAAATAGTTGTAAATTTATAATAATAAACATAACTTTCATCCGGTAAAAAGCGTTTTTCTTTAAATGTATAAAGGTTATGTTAATCAAAGACAATACTAGATATATAGAACTTTTAACCTTCCGACTCCCAGAACCAACATTGGGCTCCGTGAGCTTCTTCACAATGTGTTCTACCTTGGATTCTGCCACTAATATTGACCCTGTTTCGCACTCCTCTACTGCTTCAAGAATAAGTTAAAACTCTTATGTCTTAAGCCTTGTATCTTCCTTGTTTTTTTACCTTCTAGTTTGTTTGTCGTTCTCCTAATTTATAAATTTTGTGCTGTCATGTTTTGTTTTGTTTTACTTTATATTATATTTTTTATCAGTGAAACTTTTTGTGGATATGTCCAATGTGTTTATTTTATGTTTTATTTTTATTTTATTTTTACTGCATAGAGATGTATCCGTTTAGTTTCCTTAATAAATAAATAAATATCTTTTATGAAAGAAGTATTCTAAAAAATTTAACAAAATTACAAGTGGCGGTAGACCGCGTCATAAACTCTACCCTCAAAAATGTATTGTAAAACATAAAATACAACTCTCAAGTTTCAACATGACTCTATCGTGTTGATACATTATAATATTATTATCATGTCATCACAAAACTTGTTGAACCAGTCGCCGTTACCCCAAGTTTTAACGACTTTTCGATAAAAGGACTGCATTTAGGACACTTATCAAGTTTTGAAGAGCAGTCCAGACCTACATTAGCTGGCACACAATTACAACATATGGTGTTATAATCGTATATATAAAATCCATCTGCAGGGAGAAAACATTGTACGTATATTTTTACAAAGTATAAGTTGTTGAAAATATATAATCCTTTTTCGTTACTTAAGGTAATAATCAAGGAAATTAATAAACTTACCTTTCCCTCGCAATATATTTATGAAAATATTATGTATGTATACAAAAATAGTGAAAAGTTTACTAGAATAGAACATACGCACAATGTTAATACACGGAACAAACGCAGGCTGCAATTTCCCCGTACTAGACTATCTAAAGTTAGTAATTCTTTTTTGGGGAAAGGGATACTCTTCTTTAATAAAATCCCAGAGGCTCTTTTATCTCTGCCTTTCAATAAATTTAAGAAATGTATTAAAGAAAAGCTGTGTAAAAAGGCTTACTATAAAGTCAACGATTATCTAGTTGATAAATAGGCCTGGGACTAGTGCTAGAGCTTAGGCTACTTCTAATTAATTTGCGATATTTGTTTTAAAATAAGTGTTGTTTGATGATTTGCTATTTTAAAAGAGTACCGAGAGTTTTTTACGCCGGCTTTTTCTCTCGGCCTACACCCTGTCTTCTTTGCCGATGAGTAGGGATGCCTACAAATTCAAATTTAATGACGTGGAATAAGTGATACATGTATCTTATGTTCCATAATAAACATATTTTATATTTTATTTTTATTTTTTAATAGTTTCCAGGGATTAATTGTGTTTATTACATTATTTAGTATGTATTTTTTATAATTAATTGCATTGATTCTCTTTCTGAGTTAATTTTGGCACTAAAAATACATTAATTTACTCCAAGATTTAAGTTGGCGCCTAGATTTGTTTGCGCCTTGGTTGGTAGATAGTGCCGGTGACCCCAGAGCTGGTGCTTTCCTCGCTCAACGAATAAGTATCGCAATACAACGTTAAAGGTACACTGCCACAGGGACCAAACATTTTTAATTTACGTATTTAAATTTATTTACTTATTTTTAACGAATACCGTAACTTAAATAATTTCAAATATTATTCCATTTTTTATTTATCAAGCTGTGTGAATCTCATTGCATAAAAGTAATTGAATATCATGTATATTAAAAAATAACACGCGCTTTAAACGTGTAGAGAATATTCCCATATAAAGCAAAAAGTGGAGACAATTAAGGCATTGTCTAGAAATAACGCCCCCTTACCATGAATTATTTAAGGGACCGAACTGGTCTTGCAACTTTTCTTAAGACCGAGGGTTCTATCTTTAAATGCGAGTTTAATAGGGAACTATAAAAAGGTATTGGTATATTGTTGGCCTAGTGGCTTCAGCGTGCGACTCTCATGCCTGAGGTCGTAGGTTCGAACCCCGGCTGTGCACCAATGGACTTTCTTTCTATGCATTTAACATGAGCTCGAACGGTGAAGGAAAACATCGTGACGGCGCGCGCGTGTGTCAGGCATAGGAGGCTGATCACCTACATGCCTATTAGATTGACAAATTATTATAAAACAGATACAGAAATTTGAGGCTCAGATCTAAAAAGGTTGTAGCGCCACTGATTTGTTTATATTTTTTATTTATTTTCACTTACTCTGCATAATTTAAAATAATCAAAAACAAACAAATTACATAGTGTGCCTAATAAAGGAAAATTTTATTAAAAAGTGTGAAACCTATAATAAAAAAATCAATATAAATATTAAGAATACTAATATACATACGAAGGGAAGACTTCGGTTTCATTTAGTAGTGACAATTTAGTATTTTCTTTATAATATTATATTGTAGTACAAAATTGTTTGTTTAATATTTCATTTCATTTTTCTTTTTTTTCATCCATTAATTTATTAATGTTTTCTGTTACAATATGTATATGTGTAACTGTAAGATAACTTAAAATGAACTCTTACTAAAAGTCCCTATTTAGATATGTTCTGGAAGATGGATTCATCTAGAGTTTGGGGAGTCTAGTGTAGTAGTCTAGAGACCGAGTCTTTCCGCAAAGAGTCTAACAAAGTACCGATTCCAATTACGAAATAGCTATAAATGTAGTTCCTTCAATATATGTAGCGTTGAATTCTTGAAACACAACAACAAAATACTTCGGTAAAGAAAAATCGCTATTAAAATTACGAGAAAAGCTTGCTGGCGCTATTGCTAGTGTAGTAATCGTACTAATAACAAACATTTATTGCTTAAAATATATTGAAGGTACAATAGGTAGGTACATATATGCCAGTCACAAAGGCGTTCAAATTTGTCACCAATAAAATAAAGATTTGATGCAGAGGAAATGCTGCCAGCGTTAAAGGTACACTGTCACAGAGACCGAACTTTTTAAATTTATTTAAATTTTCTTTTTACTTTTAATTATATTTATTATTACTATATATACCATAAGATTTTTATTTTATTTTATAAGGAATTGTGTACATACTGTATATTTTATTGTTATGAATAAAATCAGTTGTAAAAAATAGTATCATACAATGATAGTTATAAAATATTGAATTATTACATCACTTATGTGCTACCGTTTTATATATAAAATTTATAATTGAATTCTGATTGATGGTTGGCTAAATGTAACTTAATCCGACCAGCTGCACCACTCACAATGCGTGTTAAAGATCGCTATCTTTTAAAATTGGAAACTTGAGACACAATAGCTTTTGATACAGCACTCAATTATAAGAGCTATTTATTCCTTTACTTTAGCAAAGCTTAGAGAAAATAGATAAAAGCATAAGATATGTGATAATACTTAGCAGTAAAGATGGCCGCTTTAGCAGACAATAAAATATATTTTAACAAGTATATTTCAACTAATACCATGCATAGTTTATATGTCTGGTGTCTGTTAAGGTTTCTAGTATGTTTATTATATAATAAAGACAATTAAGAAGGTGGAGAGACCAATTAAGGAACCGGCAGGTGGTATATATCAGTGAGTGGCACAGTTTTACCAATTCTTAAAAGGCCGGCAACGCACTCGCGACCCCTCTGGCATTGAGAGTGTCCATGGGCGGCGGTATCACTTACCATCAGGTGAGCCTCATGCCCGTTTGCCCCCTGTTCTATAAAATAATTATTTAATATTTATAATTTATTTTATTATAGATTTCCGTAACATGTTTACTACATTTAATTTCACTATTTTGACAAAAGCAAATTTGTTTTTTTTCAACACAGCGTAATCTAAATTAGACAGAGACAAAAGAGTTCTAAGTCGATAAAAAAACATAATTTGCTTTAACTATAGCTACATATATATAATAATAGATTAAAAGACTATCGCGTCTTCTGCTCGCCATAATTTATAATTTATTTATGGATTTAGTAGCAATGAATATCAAAAACTCAAATAATATATCATTTATATATAATACAATAACAAATACCCTTTTCCAGCCTATTCATACAATAGAAAGATATCTTTCAACGATTACATATAGTATACGACACGAGATGACATAAATGCCGCTTTGTTGGCTTTTTAGGTTAAGACTGAATTACATATTACGCATTACAGGATTTAACCGAAGCCTCTTACTAATATAAAGTAAAAATCGTCAAATGTCAATAAAGTATCGGATCTGTTTAACATCATCATAGTATATTTTTTATCTAATGAACGATTAAACTACGCTGATTAGTTACAATTATTAAGGTTTAGTTGGGAGACATAGTTAAAATACTTCAGTGGGCAGCTGGTTCCACATTGTGGTGGCGCGTGGCAAAAACTGCCTTAAAAACAATCAGTTGTGAAACGACAGACGTCGAGGTGATACGGATGGAAGTTTCTGCCTCGACGTCCGATGATGAAACTCAGCTGCAGCTGCTAGAATGTACTCTAGTCTTTCAAGAAAAGAATTTTTTTTTCTTAATTCTTCTACCATTAGATATTTTTAGCACTAATAAAAACCTACAAGTAATAATACCTCAAGTATTATTAAAATGTCGTCTCATTCAAAGACGGTATACATACAGTACAAATTAACAATTAGTTACCAGTACTAATCTGTCTCTTTCCAATGTGGCAAAAGAACAGTTTGACAGACAGAGACGAATGAGCACTTTAATAAACAATTGTAAATACTCACAAGCATATTCAATGAAAACAGCCTGACTTCGGATCCTTCCCTTGCTATTCCACGCGTAACAATCGCAACTGTACTTGCCACCATAATATTCATCTATTTCATTTCTCGTTACATTTAACTCGGCCTCGACAACCCTAACTCCATTCTGGGGGTCCACGTGCTCGAACTGTACAGTTTTTCTATTCTCACATCGTTGCATTTAAAGAAAACTTGTAAGGCGTTCGCAGCCCTGCAAACCAGGGTTGCCGGCTTCGTTCGTTGTACGTATGAATTCTTTGGATCGAGTAGAAAGATTGGTAAACCATCAACGGTTTCGTCGTTTTCTGGTATGGGAATATAGTCGTCCTCAACAACTTCTTGCTTAAAGTCTGAGAGGTAAGGATCGAAGTTAATAAGACCGTCTGGATGGATGTATTCCGGTCGGGTCTCTTTTTCCGTCGTTTGGTCTGTACCTATAACAATATTCTATTATAAATAAAAAGTATTATGTCTTACATAGGCAGAGCTCTTAAAATTTATTTATGAAAGCAAAAAAGTAATTTTATAATTACGGTTAATATATACTAATAGATATCAAGTAAATACCTGAAATTTGATAGGATATACCAAACACAATTGTCTTAGTTATAACAATTTGTTCTCTACATTACGTATAAATTGAATGAGATTATTAAGTTAAAAATCTCATTCAATTTATACGTTTTGTAAAATACGATGGTAATATGGGACATTGTTCCGGATAGAACTTTCAAAGCTTCAGAAATAATAAGTACACGTTAAAACTGTCATTACGTTATAAAACCTAGCATTTACAATAAAAAATGTCAACCGACGTTCGACCAAGACTCCTTTATTTGGATCTCGAGGGAAAATCCGAAATCAACTTTCTCATCCTTATTCAGGAAATGCTTACCTCCATTAGTAACTTTTCCATATAAAACACTTATCACAAGAATGATCCTAAACACATATTTTTGACACATCACTATCAACTATAACCACTGTCACATTTCACCAAGATTTCGTAACGTAAAAACAATAATAAACCGAGCGACACATCCACACGCCAACAAGGCCCGAGGCGTACTAAAATTTATTTATCAATTTCATTCATTCGTCATTCTTCATTCTTCTTTGAATGAATGTGTTTTCAAATAACTGTCAGTGTATGGTGTATCTTGCATTTTTGAGCGTTGTAATTAGCTTTTCGAGATAATTAACGGTTTATCGTCGGCGTGTAAGATTTCACTTTAATAACGGAAATTATCAATTTTCTTTCCATCTTGGGGTGCTTATCACGATTAAGGTATTATCTTTATATTAAATTGAGACGGATTAATGCGGCCCAGTGATTATGTTGCTAATTATGTATTTTAAAAGTTGTAAAATTCATAATTAAATAGGTATATTTTTTAATTTTTTATGTTCTATAAAATGCTTATTCATTAGGTCATATGAATCTACACCATCTATATATTTTTGGGTTATATTATACACAAAACTAATAAGATATTAATTATGTATACTTATTAAAAATTATTTTTTTCTATAGAACTTTATTTTATATATTTTAGTCTGATTGTAATGTATGAAAAAATGTTTCATTTATTTAGTTTCATGACATAGAATGAGTAAGATTTTAACTTTTATCAGTCTAAAAGTTTTCATAAATCCTATGAAATTTCAAATAACTATATTTATTTAGTTTGAGATAAGTAACGACATCTTTTGGTAAATGTAATAAACACCAACGTGTCCCATCTACTATTACTCTCGGAACCATACAAGGCCAATTGTAATCAGTTGCAGCACGTACTTCATAGATGGCGCGCAACAAAACTTTTGGTATACACAAAATTTTGGAATTAAGAATGATAGTTAGTTAACGATTACGTGCACTGGGTGGCGCTCTAACAAATTATTTATACTGCATAAAGAGTTCATTGTTTAACATATTATATATCTCAGTCACACTGTAGAGATGGCGCTGAAAAAATTTGCACTTTTTCAAAAGTTTTTCTGAACTGGCATCAGCCCTGTGATAGCGCTGGCAGATGTGAGATGGAGCTATTGCAATTTCTTTAAATATTATGATAATATATTTTGACAAACGGGCTGGAGGACAAAAATTATATATTATCATATAAAATTCTCTATATATTGTTAAGTGATACCGCCCCGCCTCCCATGGATACTCATATTGCCAGGTTGCAAGTGCGTTGCCGGCCTCTTAAGAATTAGTATGCTCTTTTCTTGAAGAACCCCAAGTTAAATTGGTTCGGAAATACATAGGTGCGTAGCTAGATAGAGGTGGTAAGCGGCAAAAACTGCCTTACGTCCGATGATGAAACTCAGCTATAGATCCGAACAACTCCACTGAACACTCTAAAATATTGTTATTTAACACTTTTCAGTGCGTCTTGAAGTCGGTTCAACATTTTTAATGAATTTATAATAGCTGACCCTGTGTTGCACCAGCAGAGTAATTCATTTTAAACATTTTTTTACTTACAAATTATCTTAAATTATCTTTTAAGATAATTTGTAATTTGTAAAATATATAATCAGTGTTAAATTATTATGATAATTAATACAACATTTGCCTGTCTCATTTTATATGGCTGATTGGTTTTTTTCAATTAATTAATCTGAATGTACCACTTTCTTTGCAAATAAACGATTAGTTAGAAACTTAGTCAAAGAGAAAGACTGACACACGCTGTCATAATTCTCATTATTTTATTCTTAACCTAACATTCATTTAAAAAATCAGTGGTGCTACAACCTTTGTATGTCTGGATCTCAGATTTCTGTATCCGTTTCATGATCATTTGTCAATCTAATAGGCAAGTAGGTGATAAGCCTCCTGTGTCTCTCACGGTGTTTTCCTTCACCGTTCGAGCGAATGTTAAAGGTGCACATAGAAAGAAACATAATTTTTTTACAGAGTAAAAATTTAGAATTTCAAATTCAGAACAAATTCAGACCGTTCCCGCCAACATTGAATATTGATTGTACAAAAGGCGAACCGCAGCGTATTTTCTCTCAAAATTATTCCAAAGCCAACGATTCCTTTTGAAGCGTAAAAATATGTAAGTAGCAGAAACGGTCACATTTGAAAATTATTTTTCATCTCTTTCCTTTATATGCGAAATAGTGGTGCCATCTCTGTCTGGAGCGGAAATTCAAATTTGGCGGGTTCGCTCGCCTTTCCGCCGATTTTGAATAATGAACCTCCAAAGGTTGTGCAATCAATTGATATTTGAGTGAGAAAATCGGTGTTTTTAGAATAAATATCACTGAATACATTTTCAATCAGCTGAAAATGTTTTCGTGGAATAATCGCGAATGCTTCTTTATATTTTGAATTATGGTAAACGTCATAAAAATTGCCAATGGTTTTGAATCATAGTAACACTCGAACGTACTTAAAAAAAGGTTATAATTTGAATTTTTCATCCGTCTGGTTTGTCTAGTTTCACTAATGTATAAGGAATCGTCTAAATACCACTGCTTTAATATTATATTGTTTAAATTTTAAGACTTTCGACTACTTAAGTTAAATTAAAAATAACCGCCCCTACTTATAAAGTTCTTTTACACAGACTTGTATATTAATGAAAGAATTACGCACAAAATATATTGAATTGAACATAATTTAATTATTTTAAATTGATACCAGTAAAATGTTAGCATGTATCCTTCGAGCCGTTTCTGCAGCATTAATGCCACGGTGGAACTAGAAGGTACTCGTAAATAACGCGATCTTTGAAGTTTTCCATTTAATAATTAGAGTGACACAAAGAAAAAAAAGTTAAAACGTAAAAGGGTTTTCGAAAAACAAATGCACGAGTAAGCTGTAAAAATTTGAATTTGGAATTCCTAACCAAGGAGATATTTGAGATCAAAGCGGCCAGTATGACACAACTTCAATTTCATTTAAGGGCCTAGTATATAGTACATGTACACCTGATAACCAATAGATAACGTTTTCCACTTTGGGGATCTTAACTAAATCCGTATTCGTATAAATCGCTGGACGGTACACTTCAGTTAGTTGAATCCTCTCTATTCAATCAGGGGTTTTAGATGACACGATACGATGTTATCAAAGACAATTTTTTTGTGCGAGTACCACATATTTTATTATGGTTCCTTTGTTATTGTTTAATAGATATACTAATTAATTAAATATTAATTGAGTTATATAATATGTAATTAAATATGTGTTTTTTTTAGTATTTATTTATTTCGTCGTCCTACAGCCAACAAAAAAATATATAAAAACAAACAATTACACTAAAAATAAAAGATGGAATTTATAATATTTACAAAAAGTTTGAAACTTTAAAAAAGGGAAAAATCAATAAAAATTATTCAATACATTTAAGTAAGTGATTTCGCTGTGAAGGTGTGTATGTGGCGTATGCTTATGATGCATCATGCAGGTGATTTTGCGCTATGGATATTCCTAATATCATTTTCACCACATTCCGCGATAGCTTAGAGAGGTCAAGGTTTAAATATTGGTCGTTGTATGTGCGGGCTGCGATACAAAATGAGTTCTTTGCATATTTAGTGTTCATGTGAGAAATATGAAACAAATTGTTGATAAGAACATCTCAAATATTAACTAAAAAATACAATGTATTCTTTAAGTACAGTATTCACTATACTCTTAATATATTTAATGTATGCAATGCAATGGGGGTATATAGCTAATAGACTTCCTGATTAATGAACTATTTTCACAAAAAAAACAACAACATTTGAACACCGGCAACGTACGAGTACGTGTCCATGCATGTACGGTGGTATCACTTAATGTTAGGTCAGCCTGTGCGTTTGCCCCGTTCTATAGAAAAGCCAAAGAGCTTTTAAACACAAAGACACTTTTCCTAAGTCAAATAGGGTCGGAGATATTCGACGGCTCGTTCGTGTTTAATCAAACAAAGTGAGCTTTATATAATGTCTGATAAAAGTTCTCGTACGTGTAAAAGCGCTTCAACAAACGACACTTAACACTCCTGTCACGTACACAAACGAGTGTTGCGGTCCAAATCTTCTTTCCAATTGTTCGAATCTTGGACAATCCACTCGAGTTGCTTAGCGATAAACTGCTTACGGTATTACTGCTCAATTAGATGATCAATTCTATTATCATTATATTAATATTATTGTACGGGTCATCGAGGTGCTTTAAATAGAGGATTTTAGTTTTACTCGATATTAACCACTCACGTACAACAATATAATATAAGTGAAATAATTAAATGCTAATTGCGATGAAACGAATGAATTCAATGTAACAATTGAAGAGAGTGCCTACGTCTGGTTGTACTCTCGGGGGTAACTCTAACGATTTAGCAAATCGCTTATAAAACTAAGAAAGCCTGAGTGAGAAAAATATAGCCTTGACTCGTACAAGTATTCTTAAAATAACATTTAAAAAATGAGTACTTACTTATATGTTAGTGATACACTACGTTTAGTTTTTATTGATATTATTTCAATAATATAGTAGAATTATCCTTGTGTATATATAACTTATAAAATTACATCTTAGACCGTTAGACGATATTTCGAGTATCACAAAGTTATTAAAATTTCATTTACTTATGCTAATTCAAATTCATATAGGTATCGAAATGTACACTTATGAACGTCGAAAAATTTTATATAGGTATATACCTAAGCAATTCATATGAATTGCTTCTAATTTTACTGCCAGTTCTCAAATCAAGGGCGTAGAACGGAAGAGAAGAACTGGCCATAAACTCTCAGACACTTATTTTCATCAGGCGGGTTGTCTCGGTATCGCAGAAATAAACTACTTGAATAATATTTTTGAAAATCCATAATAATATAGGCAATATATTGACTATAATAACTAACATTTAGCATAACTAATTAATTTTGTTCCCTTTAATAGAGACCTAATAATAATTGTATAGAAAATGCTGCCAGCGTTAAAGGTACACGG